ATCACAGAAATTCTCGATTGCTTATATTAGGAGAGGACCTAAAAAAACGTTAGATACTCCCCATTTTATTTTCCCACAGGACTCTGCTTTACTCTGCCTGAATTTTAGATTTTTTACTTAAAATCGTTCATCTGATTGTCACTTCAAGCAGTCATCTGACTTTTTCCTTCTAACGCTGTTGCTTCCACCCCTTTGATTCGTCAAAAGCACTGGCCTTATTGCTGTCCAAATTTCCACTACCTTATTCGAAGTCCATTTTTGGGCTAACATAGTTCATCAGACGACCCATTCCTTTCTTACCTGTAATTCTCAATGGGAAACAACTCGGACGTCTTGCTGACGAGAACTCGAAATTCCCCTTATTGGACCAATAAATTCCCATCTGGCTCGTGAGACTAAACTGTACCCTAGTGATCCGAGTTAATTAACAAGGCTACAGACCAATGAAACCGGTGCTTCACGAGGCAGTCCCAGGAAATGTGAAGTAAACGATAAAAGTAATGCTTTGATGCTAACGCCCCCTTAAAGCTAAAAGTTTTGAGGGTTATTTCTAATTTAATGGAAAGTAAATACCCTTATTCTCTGTGGATGTTTCCATGATCTGCTCTCAACCTCAATAGACGCCGAGACCCATTGCGTCTCCGGCATTGACCATTGCCATGGCACATCCAATCAGAGTATCAACGATTAATAAGGTTCAGGAATTATCTTGTTGCTAAAAAATGAACAAAAATTTCATGAGATGTGCTAGAAATCTTCGGCCCCAGTGGACGTTCATAAAAGGTCAAATATTGGATAGTTGCTGAGTTAAGAGACAAAGTCCAGCATTCCATCATAATTAGGTAATTACAAGGCATAAGGGCAGACTCATTCAGACAGCTTGTCGATTTTGTTATCGGGAAGCGCCACAAATATCAGTTAATTCGATTTCTTAGACATTCAGTAGGCAGTCAACTGCTACACCTCTTCAACAGGCAAGAAGATTCGATACACCATAGTTTTCATTGTCACATCTCCTCTTGCATGTATTCCATCAATTTATCCGAATCCAGTGCAACCTTGAAATACGTTGTGGAATCTCCTCCTTCCTTGAGTCGTGTAGCCAGATTAAAAATAAATTTGTAAGCCTTCTCGGACCTTTGAAACAAGGTTTGGATGGCTTCTCATTCAACATGGTTATACTTAGCAGAAGAGAGATGACGTTAAAAGGTGATGTGGTGTTAAAAACTTGCAAAGGGGAAGAATATCGGGCAGCTGGTCTTACTTTTGCGGAAGCCATTCTTCCTACCGCAATATTTACAGGGAAGGCAGATGTTTTACCACCAAAATGGGCAGAGGCGACGTACGCTGGAACCCTCCTAAAGCCACAGCTACCTCGATGAAAAATCTGATGATCGTTGCTCGCTGTTAACTCATAGCACCGGTAACGAAGCCTAGAACTCTGTGCATAGCTAGACAACTACGACAGGTGGCCCACATGGTAGGACACTAAAGTGGGACGAACACCATTAAGCATACAGCGGACCTGACAATAAATCCATTTTATGACCATATAGAAGAATGTCACCTATACTGTCAGACCAAATCGACTTTCTGCTTAAAGCGATGTATCAAGTTGAGTTTTGAAAACCGTCAGAGTCCCTGTTATCCCCTCATTTGCGCTCCGTAACTAGCAGAGACGCATTCAAACTTCACTCTAAGCTAAAAAAGGTAGAGAAATGACTTTGTTATGGTACAACAAGGGCCTCATGGTAATCTACCAACTTTTTTGGAACTTCTTAACTAATGTATACATAGTATCGTCTACTTGTGATATTCTTGACTTTGGTAGCGATAATTGAGAGCTTTATACCGACTAAAAGCTGGTGTTTGGCCTCATACAAGATCCAGAGTTGGCATTAAACCGAACGAAAAGCAATTAACCTCAGCGTTTAACTGCATTAATGGAAATCACCGAAGACCGCGCAAAACTGGTGAGGATCTGGCAACTGCCAACAGTGTTTTGGGTACGTCAAAATTAATGCTGATGTTTTCAAACTTCAGTAAGGTCGCTAATTTGCAGTTCTCAAAGGGACGACAGGCAAAGATCAGTACAAGAGGGAAAAATAGCATTCAAAGGACTAAGACAAGCGTTTTGCTTCACACTGGTCCAGGTATTACCAAACTTCAAAGCCATCATCTCATGCTTTGCATTGCCAACATTACAGCCGCAAGATTTGATTTTGCAAAGGAGACAGAAGATCAGAAGGAAATAAGCGCTTACGCGAGTACTAACAGAAAAATGAGGCAGCAAAGCCTGGCAGAACGCGAGGCATTCATAACCTACACAACGCAAAGAATGAGTGGATAATGAAACACTGAGTAGGATCGAACATTTACCTGCCCTCCAACACAAGGGGCTAAAGTGATATGATTCAACAGTTCAATACCGGAAGACGCTCGCATGGCATTGCAGATGTACTAAGACTAAGTAAACTATTGTAGGCGATCCTATAGTCCTGAGCAAGCCAATTAAACACCGTTGGGAAAGTATGGACGATACTCATGTCGATGGAACTCGAACATTTGAGAAGTTTTTGCGCTCTCTTCATGAGTACGAGATGATCTAGCTTAGTAAGGTGGTGTGACAAATATGATAATAATGGAAGGTGTTTTCACTATAGAATGAAGGTAAATGGGTCTTTCTAACCCGAAAGTAAAGTGATAAATACATTGAGCAAAAGATATTTATGGCCTTCTTCAAGTACGCCCGTCAAACCTGCATGAGCCTCGTCAGCCTTAAAAATTCCGACCTCAGAATGATAGCATCACTGCGAACTGTGCCTGGGATTTCTCAAGGAGGCGAATGAGGATAGCAAAAATGTGCTCAAAAGGTTGATAAATTTCGGTTATGAATAATTAGCTCACGTTAGTATCTAAGGCTAACCGAGCTCTAGCTAAACTTGTGAATTTGTCACCATGATATTCACTTTTTGGGGAACTAGCCGTGTCACCTTGACATGACCTGAAGCGCTAGATTTCCAACGTCCTGGATGTCCGTGTCCACTGCTATCCTTAACAGATTTAGAACTACAAATTGGGTTGGAGCTACAGTACAAATGAATGCCACCATATGCCACATCCGATTTATGCTCCGTTACATAAATTTTGATCTGTGAGAAATTTCGAGATTCAGTGTATCGATTTGTTATAACACATTTATTCGATCGGGGATGTCTGCTTGCGATCGCGTTGATTCTGCATTTTTGTTAAATCGCCTAACCTATGGGTCACGCAGGTGACCTTAATTTTCCTTTTACGTCGAACATGTACATTTCATTACAGTAATATGCATTGCCCAGTTATCAAGGGCACATTTAGTCAAATTTAGAATTTCTGTCAGTTCGTTATGACTGTTGGAGTAACGGAGTTTATCACTGACATTCCTCATTTAGAAGTCAAGCACCTCATGCCATGCATTACCTTTATCCATCCATGTAGGCGTGTAGAATCTGGTTGTGCCCACAATTTCACATGTGTACACAAATATTCATGTGCACAAAACCCATCAGGTCTTAAACTCCCATTTGGCTCCAAATTTTAAGGGCGTGAATGAAGTGAACTCTACAATGTGGAGTATCATATATCGAGTAGTAGGAGCCACAAATCTCAAGATATGTCTGACTCATTGCACTTCCAATAACGAAAGAATACAAATTAATACACACCAATAAACAGCCACAATAGCACCAAATCACAACCCCCTGACCTATAATCATAACCACACGTACAATCTCCACTTGACAGACTCATAATTACATCTTTGCTCCTTGCGCCATCGAGGAGATTAGGAGTATTTCTGCATCGCATATTCCATCTCTGTGCAACACTCACAAAACTTTCTTAAACGTATAAAGAGAACTGGATTATATTTGTTTACTGGCAATTAAGTCTAGTGAAAATAACTTTAAGAAACCTAGGCCCCTTCCAACATCACAACAATGCCGAGGATGCATTGACACTGAAGCGGTACCATAGAGAAGTGAAGCACTGGTTTTCAACGTTATCACTTCCCTCATGCAGGCACGGTAGGTACAACCGCCGCATACAGACATCACACTTGAGTTTTGTTTAGCAGAGAGTGCCACAACACCATGTGCAGAACTGAATTGCTAAAGTTTTTAACCAGCAATACGAAACAGAATCGATGGATTTTAAGTTTAAAGGAGCCAAGGTCCCACTCAAAGACGAAACAAAACAGCGCTCTGAAAAATAAACATTGACATATATTTGATGCACAGATGTGATACGAACTACCAAAGATCTAGACGCCAAACTAACAAAAAAGCGGGATTGGCACAAATTTAAAGAGCCCCTTACACAGAAACGGTGTCGTAAAAATAAATCCAGTACTTGCCAAACGTTAGGGTTTACCCTACAATTCCAACGACACAAAATTTTAATTGATCACTCGTTACGCTAGAACAGATTGCGATCTAAATTGACTTATTAATCAAGGGTTAAATATTCTGACTGTCAGTGTGCACAGCCACATCACTAAAAGAAAATATAGAAGTCTGATTGGCTGATGTATGCGATGACTGTGGAATCAGCCGTTTTAGCGCGGGGTCGCGAGGGTCTTTTCGGGCTTTGGAGATACCCATGTTACTGACCATTTATCCCTCGCATTCAACCCGTCTTCTGTGCTATATTCTTAATGCGTTTTCTCAGTCCACTACGTCTGACTCTTTGCTGTCCTTGTTTAGTTTCATGCTTAAACAACCCTTCTAGTCTGACATAGTTGGCGTTAAGTCTATCAGAATTCTTGCTAGCACATCTCTTTGACCTCGACGTTGAACTTGTTTGTTGTGGGAAGACTCATTTTCTGCACTTTGTCCTACTGCGTCTGTCATCCTTGCGGCTGTTATCCTTGTTTACGTTATACCTATAAGGAAGTTCAAAACTATTGAGTATGTCATGCTTTTACACAATTTTTTTTACAATTCAGACCTATCGGACCAATGCCTAAGCCAAAGAGTCTCCGGGATTTGGTTCGTGATATTCGCTCAGCACGAACCGCTGCTGAAGAAAGAGCTATTGTCAATCGTGAATGTGCACAAATTCGGGATAGCTTTCGTGAAGAAAACGACACACATCGCTGTCGTAATGTTGCCAAGCTACTTTACATCCATATGCTAGGTTATCCCGCCCACTTTGGCCAGGTATACGAATTTAGTCCTTTTCATACCTAATGCCTAGGCTCTTTGGCTTGCTGAGGGGAATTTATTGGCAGCCATTTTGCATATTTTTCATGTAGCATTCGATTCTCATTTTTGAGCTTGGAGCAAGTTTCAAGTGTATGCACTATCAGCCTATGTTGTCGAGCTCGTCGTGAGGACGTAATAAAATTCAATTTCCTGCGTCAAGTACATTTTGTCAACATTGTATGGCATAAAGGTGATACGTAATAGCGATGCCCGATCGGATTAATTAATTAGATCATTAACTTAGTCCTGTTTCATTATGTTTTTATTCCCTTACCTTTGAACTACAAGTCAATGTTTCGGTAAGGTTTAGCCTCAACAAAGTTGGGCATTAAATTTCCACATCCTTCTACAAGTTGTTTGGTTTACATTGATTAAATAGTCCGTTGCTTCTTCGATAGATGGAGTGTCTAAAGTTGATTGCCTCGCCTCGTTTTACCGACAAACGGGTTGGCTATCTTGGCGCAATGCTTCTACTTGATGAACGATCAGATGTTCATCTCTTGGTCACAAACTCTCTTAAAAAGTAAGTTCCTGGGACCCACGTTCCCTTCTTCTGCTGGAACAAGCTGCGACTAATAAATATTTTCTCTCAATTTATGGACGGCTACTTGATCCAAACTTTTCAAGCAATGCTTAAGATCGGTCGAGTCAAATCACTCCAAAATTTCCTTCTACATGCCGTTAACAAAGCGGGATTCTGTCTACATTTTCACTAAATTGGTATGGATCTTTTTTAGCGACCTCAACCATTCGAATGTTTACGTAACCAGCTTAGCCCTCTGTACCCTTGGATCGATCTGCTCAATTGAAATGAGTCGTGATTTGGCTGGAGAAGTAGAAAGACTGGTCAAATCAACCAATCCCTACATTAAAAAGAAGGTTAGTTATTGCAACCTCTTTTAATCTATTCCGGTTTTAAGTGCCAAGTTTTGTAATGAAACAGAAGCTTATCTGGCGAAAGTTGGTTTAGCCGTATTTCTTCTATATTCACACAAACAGGCAGCACTTTGTGCCTTCCGAATAGTTCGTAAGGTGCCCGAGCTGATGGAAATGTTCATTCCTTGCGCTCGTGCTCTTCTTACGGAGAAGAACAACGGCGTCCTCCTCACAGCCGTCTGCCTCATTACTGAGATGTGTGAACGAAGTCCAGATACATTAAAATACTTTAGAAAGGTAATCGTACTTTGAGTACTTGTCAAAATTCAAGATCTAGACTTAGTGTGCAGTGCTACTTCCTCAACTCAGATTCTACTAGACGCTGCTTAGGTGGTTCTTTTTGTTTTAGCAAATGGTCCCAACTCTCGTGCGAACCTTGAAGACTCTGGTGACCACTGGCTACTCGCCAGATCATGAAGTCAATAAAATTAACGACCCCTTTTTACAAGTAGGGATTTCTTTGGCTCTTCATGTTTTATCTGTGTAGCTCTAAGCTTTGACAAAAGACTAAAACCATAAATTCTTTTACTTTCCCTAACCACTTTTTTGAGGTGACTTCATTCAAATTAACTATTTGCAAATGGTAAAGGCCTTTCCTTTCCTTTCCTTATTTATTTGTTAAGCAGCCTTACCGCAAATGCACTTCTCCGTATATCGTCGTTACTACGGCTTTTAGTTCTCTAGATAAGAGTGATTGATCCTCACTAAGAGACACACAAACTGTGATTGATAAATTGGACTAAGTTTTGAGTCTTTTATAGGTAAAAATTCTTCGTTTGATGCGCATTCTCGGTCGCGGCGATAAGTCTGCAAGTGAGGCGATGAACGATATTCTCGCCCAAGTGGCTACTAGCACTGAGACTACTAAAAACGTCGGTCATGCTATTCTCTATGAAATCGTTCTCACAATCATGGGCATTGAATCTGATCCCGGTCTTCGTGTACGCATTCTCCTTCGCGCTTTTTAAGTACCCATAAATTGTTTTTAGGTGTCCATAAGGAATTAGGATCTTGAAACGTTACCACGCCTTCTACAAGGTCGTATTGAGAATGTAGTCTTATTTTGTGATTTGATCTGCCTTTTACTCTTTGCTACCTCACACATTTTACCTATCAAGGTGCTCGCAATCAACATTCTGGGTCGCTTTCTGCTGAATACGGATAAGAATATTCGTTATGTTTCCTTGAACACTCTACTACGCGTTGTTAGTGTGGATCAGCGTGCTGTCCAACGTCATCGAGCTACAATCCTCGAGTGTCTAAAAGACCCAGATACGTCGATTCAACGGTAAGAGCCTGTGACGCATTTAACTATGTCAGTAACCTCTTTATTGTAACTTGAACGCCCGGTATATACAGGCGAGCTCTGGATCTCTGTTGTGTTCTCATCAACGCTTCGACAGTGAAAACTGTAATCAAAGAATTGTTGTGGTTTCTGGAGAATTGTGACGTTGAGTTCAAGTCAGATGTCTGCTCGAAAATCATCACGGCTGTGGAAAAGTACTCCCCTAACAAGCGATGGCGCATTGACACCACACTAACTGTTCTGAAACTGGTAAGTGCAACTTTGAGGGCTATTTATTCAACCTCCACCAATGTATGTATTTCTGCCTTCGTTTCCAATATCTCATGTTAGGCCGGGAATCGAGCTCGAGATGATGTGGTGGCTTCTATGGTCTATCTAATTTCTCAGTCTCCTGAGTTGCATGCTTATGCTGTGTCTCAGCTTTTCAAGTCGATGCGAGAGGATCTGACCCAACAGCCACTTGTTCAAGTTAGTGAGAGTGTCATATTTATCTTTTCGCTTCTGCTTTAAAAGGTTCATGTCTGTTCTCATACCGACATCAGACTTTTACATTTGCTTTGATCCTTTTTGGTTTCACTGAGCATCAAGAATTTCTCATGAAGGCCTTGACTCAAAACCTAAAACTTTTAACTAGGTTCTGTTCCACACTTTGTTCTTTTCCCTTTATTGGTTTTCAATATAGCACCTTATTTGTGGGTTGAAAATTGCTCCGATTTGGGGATTTTCGATGACTGAATTTCCGCTTCTTCTCACGAAAAGTTTATTTTAATGCTCCACAAAATTTACTTACATTACTGTTGCAAGCTTAATTATTGTACTTGCTATCACTATCGTCACAGGTGGCCACTTGGTGCACGGGCGAATATGCGGACCTCTTGGTGCATGATGGAGACATCGGGGAGGCTGATTTTGAGGGGCAGCAGCAGCAGAATATCACGGAAGGGGATATCGTCGATCTCTTTTCTACTGCTCTCACCTCTCCTACATGCAGTCTGGTGACCAAGGAGATGGTTGTGTCCACTATCATGAAGCTTAGTGTTCGACTTGGACCCGCACATCAAGAGTAAAGATTCGTTTTTCTTCTGTTCTTGTTTTTCACTTCATCTCTTACTTACCCGTCACCATAGTCGCATCAGATCTCTGGTTCAGCTCTACTCAACCAGTATGCATCTGGAACTGCAGCAACGTTCGGTGGAGTACTTTGCCGTCTTCAAGACGCATGCGGATGGGTTCCGCGAGGGTCTCTTCTCTCGCATGCCCGTCTTTGCACCTTCCAACAACTTTCTTTCTGAAGGTGTCGATGGTGACGCGGATGCTGGGACTGAAGGGCAGAATGGGGGTAGTATATCCGTGGATTCTCGCGCTGACGATGTCATCTCAGCTCAGGTTTCAAAAGTTGAAGCAAGCAACCTTTTGGATCTTCTTGGTGACTCAACCCCGCCTCTTCCTTCGCCATCTTCCTCTACTCTCACATGTAAGTTTCCATTGAGCGCGTTTCTTGAGAACTCCATAAAACATGTGTTTCTATCATAAGTTGTTAAAGCTATTACTACGACCAATTGTAAATGTTTGAATTAATCTAGTAGTATAGCTGATATTGCTTCGATTGTAGTCTATTAATGCTAATCAGTTTAAGACAAAGAGCTCCTGACGACTGACTCGTTTTCAGTAACAGACATGAGCCAGTTCCATAACGTATTGGCATTTGTATGTTATAATTTGGTAGCTTAGTGGCCCACTTAGCATTAACTGTATTAGTTTCACGTCGGAGATCAGTAAAAATACTGTGTACTTTCCTGTGACTCACGAAACTGCCCGAAAAATAAATACTTGAACGTCTTCTATAAACGGGCAAAATTGTTCGGAAAACGCCATGTGAAAGGGTCCTTACTAACTAATGTTTGCATTTTTGCAAGCAATGCATGTCTTGTGGTAGGAATTCACAGTAGGGCACCTCTTTCATCCTCACTGCAAAATGTTCATTAGCACAAATTGTCGTGACTTAATTTACCCAAGTTTTAAGTCTCCTTAAGAGCCAGGTGCCTATTGTCGCCTCTTGTCAGCGCTATTCTTACGTGCATGTTTAGAGCTTAGCAGATTAAGAGCACATAGCTGTCATTCGCTTTTGCGACGAATGGCATTTAAATTATTATCTTGTATTTTCTAAAGCCAACATCAACACCGGAAAGCTTGGAATCCTCGATTCTACTAATGATCTTCTGGATCTGATCATGGTTGAGGCACCAACAACGGGGTCTCAGCATCAGAATCCATCATCAGTTCTTTCTACTCAATTATTCAGTTCCGTCAAGTCAATTTTCCCAGATGCTACACTTCCAGGTGACTCCACTTGCAAAAAACTCTACATTCAGCTATGGCTATGGTATTTCTGTTAAGGAGGATTTTTTTACCAAATCTAAACCAAATGTTACTGTAGGTAATAACTAATAAGGTAGATCATTCTTCTACGTTTATGTTTATGGTATTTTCTAGATTGCTGCTACCTTTGCATTTTCAAATTTCTGCTCCTATCATTTTTTTTTAATTCAACGAAGTTTTCATCTGCCTAATCTAGTCCATTCCCAATTTGGATGTTTTTTTTTGCAAATTAATCATTGTTCTGCGAATAAATGGGAAGTTAGCACTGAATCTTAGTAACGCAACGAGCTTGTTATTTGCTACTCACAACAAACCTACAAAATTGCTGGACTGAAGCTCTATTTTAATCTTCGGCTTTGGTTTGCATCCTTTGTTGCAGTAACGAATTACTGCCCCCTCAATGAAGTTGGTGTTCATTCACAAAATTTATTGGGAAGGGACTTTAAGTACTCTTTCGAACATTATGAGAACTTGGAGAATGTAAAGATGAAGTCATCTACAATCTTACTTGAAACATCAAAGTTATAGTTTGCTTCAGGGAAGTTGTTTATTCCATATTGGTGCACGCTCTTATTTCGCCCAACTACAATGGGATCAATTAATGTCACTCAATATTCCCATTGCTTTTTAAACTGTTTTAGCGAATTTACCAACACAGCCAGCAAACGGTTTCACTGCACTACCAACAGTAGTAGCTTCACAACTTGCACCACCGATGACGGTGTACGATGCAAACAGCATCCGCATAGTGCTCGATTTCGAGCGCTCCAACGATCCCCTGGATCTGAGCTTTGCCTCATCGGTGCCACCATGCATTCAGATCCGTGCCTCCTCACAAAACACAGGTGCGCTCCCCATTGAGTCCTTCGAGCTGCAGGTTGCTGTACCCAAGACTTTCCAGCTGGAGATGTTCCCACCGTCAGCTACCTGTCTGCTGCCATCCGTCACTGTCTCAAGCATCCCACCTGTGACGCAGGTCTTTAAGGTGTCCAATCCTAATCGGGTTAGTTTTTTTTCCGTCCCTCTATGCACCACTTTTTCCCCAATCCTTGTCATTATGCTTTTTTTAAAGCAACCTCTGCGTCTTCGTCTGCGCCTCCTCTTCACACAGAACGGACTTCAAAGATCAGAGCAATTTCAGATCGACCAGTTTCCTACCAATCTCTTCAACATTTAAGTTCGCTTCTTTTCGCGAACATGCACATTGTTGTCTCATCTCGTCTCGTCTTTATTCATCTCTTTTTTTCTCAATATAAATGGCTGTGCCCTTCCCGTTTTCCATTTTACGCACACCTGTGTGCATTCTCAGTCCGACATACACATTCCACACAACCACCCACCACATATGGGCTTTCGATGAGTAGGTGGCTGATCCACTAACTCCATGTCTTTTATGCGATCATGTGTTTTAATATACGTCCTTGTCTCCCTCCTTATTTCTCCTCAGAGTCTAGTGGTGGTGGGGTTCCACTACCTTCACGTCTAAATGGGTGCAACTATTGTGATCCTTGCTTACCACCCAGTCCAAAAAACAGCCCGATCTTTGATGTTATGGCTCCCGATATCGAAAAAATGAGTTGGATGGTCCAGATGTGTTACCGTAATGGCGTCTCATGCATCATCCATTTGATAATGCAAGTTTAGAGTCCAAAGTGATGAGTGTGACTTCTGGGTTCGTAACAGGTTTTCAAGATTGGAAGGGACCGCACCTCAAGTTGGTGCAGATCACAGTTAGGCCTGATTTACCATCAGCCGCACCAAAACTGCGTCTTGTGTTGCCTAGCTGTCGCCACAACCGTCTTGGAGTAATGAATCGAGTTCTACTAGTGGGGGTGGCTTAATGCAATACAACTGAAAGGTGACGGAATAGAGTTGACAGAGGTCTAGCAGACGTTGCTTATCTGTTGTCGCGTACAACATCATGTTCAAGCTTGTTTGAGCTAGGGGACGGCAAGTGGCAACAGTCTTTTTCCTATTGCATTGATTGGAGAAGTTTTCTTCCTACTACACAGGTTCCATTGTGACAGATCACACGATACATGAATTAGGCATGCGTATTCACGGCACTGAACCAGCTTTGAAACAGGACAAATGGATGGGAAGTTTACCTTTAGATAGAGAAACATCACTAGTGAGTCGAATAAACCGGTCCTTTATTCAGGAAGAAAGTTCGAGAGGACGGACAAAATGAATACAAACTGGTAACAGGATGGCAATGAGGTGAGGTCATTCATGAGCAGAAACAGCACAACAAAGTAGTGGTGGAAAGACGAGAGGATATTAAGAGGTAAGCAACTCTGTGTCACCAACTCGATGCTGGCCATCGGCAATTAATTCGTCGTCCAGTGTAGCGGAGGGGCCGAAGCCGGACTGCACCGCCTCGGGTGTCTGGTTAAAGTAGTCCATGTAGCCACCGATCACCTGACTTCCGTGAGGATTACTGCTCGTCCCAGTTACGTCATCCGCATATTGATTGTAATTTCGGGAAGAAATGTGGCGCCTGTAGGCTGCATATGCCATGCCACCCTGTTAGGGAAGCACTGGTTCATTCATGGAATAAAACTTCAAAAAAGCATAAGCGGGTAACTCCTAAAGTTTATTCCTTTAAGTGGAATCAAACAATTGTACGGTATAGAGGCGTTCCGCCTTTGTCATCTTGGTCACCAATTGCAGTGAAACCGCACGTCCGCACGTTTGTCAACTCCTGTATTGGGAGTTAAAACGGCAAAGAGAGTCTACTGCTTCTTACTTCACCCTAATAAAACCGCAAGCTAGCAAAGTTGTGCAATATTTCATAGTTTCCTCACTTAATTTTACTAGGCTTACTGGTACTGAGGCCCTGGTATTATCCATCCCGTTCCAAACAAAAACAACGTCTATACGTTATAAGGTCTGACCGGGGTTAATTGTAAGCGGTAAATAATCCACCGGAATAAGCATACTGAAGACTAGAGATGACTATGATTCCCAATCTCCAATCAATACGATCTGGAGGAGTGTAGGCCACAAAGCGGCTTAATACTCCCATTTGATCCCAGGCTTCCATTACCTAACCACGCCTTTGAGCACGAAAAACTAATTGAGCCATTGTGGAGGATTCATATGCCAATGATTAATCCACATACATGGTGGGAGGAATCCTCACAAAAATACATAATTTTTCAACAGCATTAAGGGACCATTTGTGCGTGTGAATGCAACATATAGAGACATGGAATCTGCAAACAGGCATAAGTAACGCGTTCTAGCATAAGCATTTCGATCGATATGTGATAGCATCAGGGACACGGATTCAGATAATATGAAACAGAAAGGAGGCTATACAATAATCAAAACTGTTCCCTTTAGTACCTTATTGGGAGGTTACATAAAAATGTCACAAAAAAAAGCATCTAAGGGTTTAAACAACCCAATGCATGAACTCAGAATGCAACGTGGATCAAAATCTGGGTTTCACATGGCCTGGCGGAAGTAGGCAAGCATTCACAGAAACTCAAGATGCGTTTCGCTAGAGGGCAACAATGTTGGAAGTTACGCCTACATTGATTGAAATTGAAAAGAGAAACGCTCCAGGTTTATGAATAATACGTTTGTGTATCATTTCATTTGTAATTACACACTGGTAAAAACGTTATTACAGCATAAATCCGTAAAGCACAAGTGATAAAAATTAAGGCTGGAGAGCTAACACCCCGACTTACCCAGGAAAACATGGAAAAGAATGCAAAAGCAATTGACGCACGAACATTATTCAGATTTATCAAACTTAGGTCTTCCGCATCCGAAATTCGCCAATGATCCGCCATGTAACAGAATAACACAAAGAATACAAACGTCCAGAAACCTGTAAAGAAACCATAGGGCAACAAATGGGTTCACTGAAGACATACTCAAGCATATAATGTCTAGCAGAGCTTACCGCTAAATCCTACTTCAAATATGGTTATGTATCTGCGATATTTTGGGGGCAAGGAAAGAAATCCAACGTCAATTACCATGTAGATAAGACAGAAAATTAATCCAAGACTTGCGACTGCCAATGCAAAATTACAAGCCGAGCCACCGCTATAAAATACGCAGCGTCCAGTGAAATAACCATCACGGTCGATGCAGGCTAAAATGATCACACAAAATACCTTTGGATGCACATCAGCAACTTGAGTCTCACTTACGGCAGAAACCACGCGACAGACAACATTTGGAGAAACAGCTACAGTAGATGGATCAATCTTGCAACCACAAACATTCATTCCTACTCGAGTAGCGTAGACCGCTAATTCTAGCGCAGACACTCAACTTAAATATTAATGACGCTACTGTTCCATCGTTGCTGCTGGATAATAAGTGCGAGCCAAATCTGATTTATCAAATTTGGTGCTGTATGCTACAAATTAAAAAGTTCTTCAATATTCATAAAAATTATTTGAAGTTAAAAGCCATGGGATGTATTACGCAGCCGTTTTCCTTTTTGGAGTGAAGAACTCAACGCTGCAATTGAATACCAAAAAGTAATCTGTGCTAAAAGAACCTATCCAGGAGCCAGCTTCATCAGCAGTCATCTCTTAAATGACTGGGAGAGAATATGCCACCTCACTGCCTCCTCCCAGTAGATTCAACTAGAGTTGAATTGCTTGGCTCTTACACAGGAATTGAAGACTGGAGTTTCTACTGAGCATCACGGGAATTTATGGCTAGACATGATGTCAGATTAACACCGACCAACTCAGTTGGTGTCACTTCACTTATCATTAGCTTTCGTGCAGAGCATGAGTCACAGTGGATATCAAAATTTGTTGCTCTCGGCCTCTCCGTTCAAATAAACGATAAACCACCATACACGGCTTAGCGATCACATTCATACTGTTAAGCTTGCAAAAAAACGTGTGAGAACCGGAATAAAAGTCCATCAAACTCCGTCTTTGCTGTCTGCTACCGTGTAATTGGCAACCCAGAACACAAGGAAAGGACATTGGGCTCGAAGGCCAGCCCACGAGTACAAGGGCCAGGCAAATCCTAGTGACCGCCAAACGCCAGGTGGTCACATAAACAAAACACTACAGGGCCTTTCGCACAAATAGATATCAGTCCACCCGTCAGGGACAAGTTGGCCATTCGGGCTGTCACAGCCAGTATTAGTGGTTAAGCAAACAAGGTATAACATTTCTATTATTGCAGCTTCCCGAAAATTTTCACCAGGTAAAAGGTCTCACCAAGTAGGGCTTAATGCATGTAGTCCAGTAGAAAAGGTGTAAATTGATGTTTGGCTTGGCCCGAAGTCAAGTTCATCCGTACAAGAGCGATATGAATACAAAAAGAACGGCCAGACATACAGGCGGGTTGCATAGACAGATATTAAACGCAATATCCGCAGTCTTTAAGACTGCTCAAGTGGTTATGCAAGACCGGGGAATAAATTTAACATTTGAATTCAGACAGAAGGGACAGGAACAGGAGTAGGGCATGGCTGAATGCCGGCCCATCAACTTGATGCATAATGGCCGAAAAGACTATCGAACGAACAAGACATTACAGTGCCAAACCGCAAATCAATGAAGTCACTCTTCTAATCTTCATTTATACAGACTCGCACAGATTATTGTTGTGTGGAAGAGGGTGTGAGAGGAACACTAGAAGAACTATGTTGTTTTTATGTCCCTCTCGCTAGTAAGGAATTATGCATATCTGTAGACAATTACTCTAACAAGTCAGACAAAGTATGGTATGGTTCTCTTCCATTTCACCTTTCGGACTGTGAACACTTTGATCAGTTAGAATTGAACTATTTATCAGTTCGAGGCTATCGATGTTGAGTTAAAGATTTCTTTATGAACAATGGGAGGATTAGGGTAGAGGGTCTATATTCGGCAACATGGAAGGAGATCATGGCCCTTGGCATCGCGAAGAAGCCATCCCACTCAGCAAAAGCAGGACAACCAATTAGGTAGGCACGAAGCTGAAATTAATAGTCAGACAAACAAAATAATGCAATGGAAGTAGGCGCAGATCTAACGCGACCAGAATGTTTGGTTTTCCTGTGCATTAGACGAGTCGCATTTTGAGAGTTATACCTCCAAAGTTCTGAGCTGCTTCCTCACTTTCACCCACAAATACCATTAAAGGCAACACGCATTCCCCTTTGATTGTTAACTTGATAATGAAAAGCATAAAACACTTAAGTGAATACTTTTATTCGGACAGAAATAGAAGATGTAGACTCTGACCCATTCAGAAAACAAGCTAATCTAGCAGGACTGAGAAACACCATTCACACTTAGTCAAACACCAATTCTTCCTAATGGGTCCAGTGAAGGAGTTTATAAAGGCATCACTCAATGCCGAAAATCACTATCTACTCCATCACAGGCCTTGTGATATGCATGGGCCTTAGTTGCAATAAAATTTTCTAATGTGATCATCTGCGGGAACTTTTGTATTTACCTCGCTCTTGTTCCCGCGGGCTGACCTTCGCGCCAAGCCAAAGCTCAATTTCTCTTTTCGCCTTGAATTCAGGTATTCAGCTCCGCTTAATGCTTTCTTCTACCCAGTGGAAATTGTCGAGATGCTACAGTAGCAATTATAGTATTTAATCCATTGAGGTTTTCGATAAAACAGCTTTAACAAAAAATTCATCAAGTCGACAGCATCTACATTTTTATAATTACCCAGTGTAGCACATTTCTCCCCGCTCTCTTTGTCCTCCATATTAGCATCCTTGGAACGAGGATAATCTGACGATGATTTAGTAGGCATTTCTGTGTAGGTGCAGCCGAATGGGTTAGAAGCACATCTAGAGTACTCAAACTAGTCCGGGGAAGGAGCCCCGTACCTTACTTGCACGAGCTTGAATTGGATTTACGTCTCTTCCACGAAGGACAATTTAAACAACTAACGTGTGCTGCACCCAAGTTTACCTTAAAATTAAGCATAAAACATTGGCCTCATTTTCTCATGCAAAATTCACATAACGCCTTCATTTCTCCACAATCTCTCGAACACTAGCTTAGATAGACCATATTACCTTCAATTAAGACCAAAAGCATTTTTCCAGCCTGTTTCCGGCTTTGGGAGCATTATGGACTATGATAATTCCCATCTTTTTCCACCCGCTCAAAAGTTGCAGCGAAAGTCTTGGATGATTTTGCTGCCAATAAATGGGTAATTTTTGCAGTTCCATCGAAGTTATGCATTCTTTTGAAGCTGTATGGCACTTCCTAACTTCAACTCTTATGTGTTTACTGTGCATAAGTGCATTTCATTGTAGTGTAAGTTTTAATCCGGTTCATTTGTTTCTGAAATATTTCTCAGACGTCGTACTAGACCAACATTTTTATATTGGGAGGTCTTTATTTTTCTTTATATCTTTTTCGTTTTTTTACATCCCACGAAAATTGTGAAACTGTTTTTCGCCAGTCTACAGTTCTCATTAGGCCGATGGGTTTAAGCTGTATATATAGGGGATGGCTGGTCTTTCTCCTTGTAGGTATCTTCAGCGCCTGCATTCGTGCCGTCAGGTTTCTAATAGTACCGTCACGAAACGGATAATTGGGCTATTTACCCTACCCTTTCTATTTGAACATCGTATGCAATGAATGTCAGTGATGACCCCACCTGCGTGGTAAACAAAACCAACGATTTGTGGAATTGAGTCTCCTCGCCCCCCTTTGAGGCCTACATTAAGATTGGACACTTATTCGATCGTCTCCAAGGGAGAACGGGTAGCCGATTTGGAGTGGAAAAATAGCGCCCCAAGGCAACCACCATAGAGTATAAGGCAATCATCCTGAATCGTGCCAGCGGAAGCAGTTGCACCACCGTGACTATCCGGCAATGTCCCAGCGAGAAGTGCGATTTCCCAGCTTAGGCATATGGCAGTAGGAGCAATGGAGGTATAGCCAACACAATAGTAGAAGCCAGGAAAGGCTTTAACACTGCTAAGCATTTACGGTGAAGTTTCGTTCGATGAATCCACTTTTTCATTTCAAATGTAATAATAATAGCAAGTGTGGAAAGAATTGTCGACAACTCGGTTCTTCTCCCTTCCCCTTGTAATGCAAACCCACAAACAAGTTGGTTCCCGAATCAAGAGAGAATTTTTGGCACGGCTCCCAGTGGTGTGACCATCCCCATGGAACGGTCATGAACTTAAAATGATTCACTTTCTGATCTTTTCAGAACTTAAATCTTACCTTAATTCGGTTTACTAATTGGTTGTTACTACGTTGATTTGGGTATGACTTTACGAGGAAATTTGAGCTCGGTCCCCAGCATTCTATGAATCGCTAGCCCATGTTCAACAGGAGAATACCGGAGGTTCCAATTAGTTGGAACCTTCCAGAAGTGTCTGTCCAAATTAATGTAGCCTCAATCAAAAGGAGAAACAACGAATGACCGTCATCTCTTAAAAAAATTTGGATGTACCAGAAGGCTAGTCAAATTTCGTCCTCATTCAGAGGAGTCGCTACCGTGTCCCGAAGGATGGGATCCCTTGAGGCAAACAGACAGAGGCCCACCATAATCGCCCCGAAGGCCACAAGATAGAGTGGGTGGAATATGTTTCCGAAGAGATAGATACCAATCAGTAGGGCATATATGTCCGCGGTGAGGAGAGAGAGATTCACTAAGACCGAGTTGGTTTTTGACAGGGCAAATGGTAGAGTGGTGTAAAGCAGGAACATAGCCGCAGCATATCCCGCCAGGCATCCCAGAGAGGCGGCCAAGTTTAGCTAGAGATGTCACAGAGTCAGACATTTCACTAAATACGCAATAAAATGGAGAAAACTCACGTTTTCTGATAGGTGGGTTAGTTCGATGGCGATTTTTTTTCGCTCCACAACGATGCAGTAAATGGCTGTCCAAAAAGTACCTGCCAGTGCAGTTAAACTCAAATAGTCAATAATTCCAAATTTACGCACCAGATGCTCCTGATAAACGTTGGAGGCGCCATATCCTACCGCTCCGGCGATTACCAAAAAGTCGCCAAACATCACTGATGAAGTTTGCGAGACGGCGCTTGCCGCTTCGCTTCCAACACCGGTGTCGACATCTTTTGCTGCTAGGTAGTCCGCACCAACCATTGCTCCAGCGCCGGCCAGACAGATAATCACGCCCACAAGGTGAACCCACTTGTAGTGCGTTTTCAAGCAGAATCGAGTAAGAATCATAGCTGTGGGGATGGTAAGACAATCAAGGAGTTGTACACTTGTCAGGTTTGTGTAGCCATAGGCGGAGACGATTGCCCAGTTTGCATGCATATCGATGGTGCCAGCAATAAAATATTGCCAGCCACGGCTACGAAGAAAGTACCACAAATCTAGACTGCGTGTGTGGAGGGTTTCAGTAGGGTGGGAGAGGAATCTGTGACAGCTGAAGATGCCGTAGATGATGGTAAGAAGAAAGTAGTGCGGGAGGTTTTGAGTAAGTGGAAGACTGACACCAAAGCGGACAAGGTAGTTGCTGGCTATGCCGGTAACAGCTATCAGGGCGGAGAGAAACTGGCCTAGAGCCAGTGGCACTGCCAAACGCCTCAGGTAGTGGAGGAAACGAGAGGGAGCAGATGGAGTCAAGATACCAAAGCTGTCATTACTGCAACTGCTCAATGAATCGATGTCTCCGCTCTGTGGTCCAGTTTGACATAAGCGCGAGTTACCGTTGGTGGGCAGTTGATCCACCTTAATAGCCAAATAAAGCTTTAGTTAGCTAGTTGAATGGATAGGAGCACATTTTTCTCGGAAAATAACGCTGATATTTGTCACTCGCCACGTTCACCACACTATGTACTGCAAGAAGAGGTTTGGATCTGCCATCCCAAATGATAAGCAGCTCTAGCATTGCCAGAAAACTTGCGATTTCATTATTGCACTCGATGGGTTCCAGTGATTCCTTTTATATGAACCAAGAGCTACTTTGTTTCCAAAAGAATGAAAATAACCTATCACGCACCAAAATGTGCTCTTTTACAAGCTGTTCTTAGTACACTCAATTTAAACAATGGGTCAAATCTTTGAGAAGGATACTTGAATCTCACCGACTTTCACATATCATTTTCTCAGACGATAACAAAGTACTAAGTTTTTGAGGCTCCACACCTCTTTTCAACAGTATGCTTGAAACCGCTCTGGTTCACTCAAAAGTAGCACACAGAAAATGCAAATTCAACAAAACCATGCAAATTAGTCTCATCAACATTAATTGTTATCCATAAAGGGCATTAAGTTGAAAATAAGCACTGTGGTTCCTTTATAATCTATTACTGGTATAGGCCTTTAAGATTCAGTAAAATTTCAGTTAAATACCACAAATAAACTCGATTTTGTCGATGTTTACCCGGAGTAGTTCTTAGGTACATTTGGGGTGATTCCGTTTTCAACAATTATACTGTTATAAAAAAGCAAGCCAATTTTCGGTATTTGCCTTTACAACTAAAGGCTGAGCGGAATAAAAATAGTAAATTAATCAACTTATCAGGTATGCAACGTATGCAACGTCAGTTTAAAGAATCGCAAGTTTTTTTAATTGGTAGTCAATTGATCAAATTGGTTCGTCGAAACCATAATTAATACAATGCTCGCATTCCTTGTCTTTGTCTTCGCAACAAAAATTCACGCAAAACAACAGACTCGCCGTTACCAACTGGATGTGTTACGGTAATACGCGAGAAAAACGAAAAAAAAACCAAGCTTCGAAGAGTGTGACGATACACTAAAACGGGTGAAAAGTGATGCAATCATAACTTGCCTTTTTTGACAGTTCAGAATCCATGAGGGCGATGAGGGACTCAAACGCACACCACCAGCACCAACGTATAAGTCACAAGATCGTCAATCCAGTCGAATGGAATGGAGCGCCACACGCAGAGCACGACGCATGTGAAGAGCGTAAACCAATCCAATTACAAGCGACCCGACCGCAGCTGGCTTAGCTTTGTAAGCACGAATGACCTTTGGTGTCAGAGCTGCAACATTTCTCAAAAAGGAAGATCGGGACTAAAACAGCTACCCAGAAATTGGGCGAATTAAACTAACGTGGTAATTTGAAACACCCATCGAATACTTTATTTATTCCACTGCCTGCACGAACGGTTGGGACATCCTGACTTGCCTAGGTGAGCATAGCCACACGTCTATCCTTTTTGCCTAAATGTAGGTAAGCAGCCGGATCCTCTACCTTCTATTACCAAATGGAAAGTCTCGAAACATCCCATTGATTGCAGGGGAAAGCGAACTCCACCACGTCACTACTTCTATCCGCGTTTTCATCGTATGTCAAAATTCTGCGATGCGAATAAAGAGCGAATATTTCGACTGACAGGATCACAAGCTCCTCCACAACTGAAGGGCCGACGATGACTTAGCATCTACCCCATCCCCGTGTTCCATAGACACGTTACCACCAAGCGAGGTGACACCTCCTTACACCATCTGGAGGGTTTTCTCCTTGGAGTGCCTCCTGCCATATACGCTTATTGATGTCGACCTTGACACCAGGTCAAACCCATCTCCACACGAGACTGCTCGCGACCCCATTTTTTCTGGTACACACCTGTTTTCGACAAGTATCCCAACGTCTGATACTGAACACAATAAGTAGTCAAGAGAAATTACCGTTCCTGATTCTTGCTTCTGGATCGAATGTAACTGCAGGCCCGTTTGAAGCTACTGAGAGGACCAAGTGCGTTCACTCAACCTCACAGGGTCGGGTGCACCAAAGGCGAGAACTAAGAATCGCAATCGCCAATATAGATCACTGACGCAAGGTTCCATATGAAGTTTGACCAATTTACTCACCTCACAGATAGGCATCCGAAGACCTCAATTTTACCCCATTTATCATCAGTGGATGTGTAAACATCCATATCCTACGACTCAGTTAAGAAAACTCCACTGCCACATGGTTACTAATGCACCAAAAATTGTTGTCAACCGTCCTCTAGATCAGAGATACACCAACAGGCATAGAGCATGCTCTTTGGGCACCATTGATGCCGCATAGTCGATACTCATCAAATGTATTATTGATATACTAGCAATTTTTTTCGAAAATGTCTCTTAAAAGAAAAAAAATCAAAACCTACCACCTTGGCTCACTACAGCGGCCATTGCCTTTGAACTCCATCTCTACAGTTTCCACAACGTAAAGACTGTACGCATAATGGTGACCCAAGGAGACTCAACAAGCAGCATATCGTCAATAAATCCTGAGAAGCCGACGAACTAAAGCAACTGCAAACACGCCACCTAAGACTGAGATAAAGACACTGGCATAAGGAAAGTTGCAATGAAATTAACGAACCAGGAGAAGTGCTAGTCTTGAAAGTTATTCCGTCCGTTTTCCTAGTACCCCGCTAAAATGCCCATGTTACCGGCTTCTGAATGGGTAGAGCGACGTGTCATACTACAAAGCCCAGCGCACCTAAACAACGGTAACAGGCCAGCAACGGCAATTTGAGCATAATCGTTGACCTTTAAAGGCATTAAAAACCAAGCGAGAAAAACAATAGACAGCACCTCCATTTAGAGCGTAATTTTATGCTAGGAACCTAAAATAGAACATTTGTAGCAGGGTATTAGATGTTTAAGTGCATTAAGCTCGTCGTAACACATATTAGCCTGCTAAATTAAAAGCATACAGACCAATAAATTTCAATATTTTAACCCATTCCATGCTGTCAAAACTTAAATTTAAGATCTCGATTCTATAGCACAAATAATATATGTAAGTTCGTTAAGAGCATTTGATTGTGTTTAAGGTCACTCAGTCAGGAGACTTCTTGCCGGTTTTTGAACAATGATATTACATCGCATACAGAATGGTATGCGCAAGATTCCCATTCAGTAGGACACAGCCATTTGTGCATAGTTGTATCGTGCCAGCTTTGACCAACGGCGCGTTTTTAAAGGTACGTTGCGAGTGTGCGGAACGGTGCCCTCGGTTGTGTGCTACTTTTGTGTAGTTTTAAAGAGGTAAATTTTGGTTGAGTCTTACACTGTGTATCTTAATGCGAATTCATCGATGCTCTTCGTTGACAAACAGTGGGACGAACTGTCTCATTTTTACTAATATCGGCATCATGTTCCTTAACTCCTGTGATTAATGATGCTTACCTTTGCAGGCCCGGTGCTACTTTAAAAATGTGCGGGATCCTTCTTTGTACCTCTTCAAACTATAAGGTATATGTTGTATCCTTATTTTTGGGAGGCTGATAGAAACTTAACGATTTTGATCGCTCAGCTCTTAATAGTCGAAGTCATGATGCAATACCAATAAATTTCTCCCTCGGAGACGTCGGGTACAAAGCGTTTGGTGCTGTTACACCAACTCAAAACCACGGTCCCCATTTTCGATCATCAGACTTTATTCTTCTCTGGGATGGTAGAATTTATAGCCATCTTTCTTCTGTCTTGGACGCTCAATGGCTTCTAGAGGAAATCTCCGCTTGTGATGGTTCCAACAACGTCATAATTAGTCTCTTTGGCCTCCTACGCGGTCCCTTCGCCTTCATCCTCATAAAGAAGTCAGCAAAACGCATATTTTTCGGACGCGATAAATATGGTCGGCGTTCACTTGTCTGTAATTCTGCTATCTCTCATTTGGGTAGCCTCAGTCTTTCAGATGTAAGTTCTACTTGCAATTATATAAGTACCCATCATTTTTGTTTGCCCTTGGAATTTAGGATGACACCTTTGCAGAGGTTCCAGCGTCGGGAATCTACGTGGCTTCTGCAGTATCAGGCGGGGGATTTCACATTGATTCCTGGTATCCGTGGTCCTCAGATCATCTACAATTTTGGATCTCGCACCCTCTCAACACGTCGGTGAAACACGAAGCCATCTCAAACGATTATAAGTTGAGAACTCCTCAGGGTGTAGATGGGCGTGATCCAGTAAATGTTCTGATGAATCTCCTCAGAGAGGCTATTGCCGTTCAGGTTCATCTGCCAACACCCGTCTGTCAAATGTGTTTTAAGTCAGGTTCTAACTTATGCTTGCACGCCCGCATTGGCGTTCTCTTCTCTGGGGGTCTTGATTCAACTGTTATCGCAGCTCTGGTTGACAGGTAATCGCAGCATTTACGCTATATTTTAGTTCTTTTTCATCCTCTTTTAAATATGATCTTTCGTTCTACTTGACGCGCACTTTAAGCAACGATGCGAATTTTTTATTACACCTGCAGTTCTTTTTATTCTATGCTTGTAATTACTTCCAGGCTCACCACAGTAAGGGTTTTGTTTGTCTGGTACTTAAAAGATCTTTGCATCAGAAATCCAGCACAGTGATGTGTACTGTTCCAAATGCTGAAAGGTCAAATGCGTATGAACTACTTTTCATTCTCATGCTAAAAGTGAAGAATTAAAATATAAAAAAATTTTAGTTGCTGATCCAAATGGATTTGCGGAGTCTTTAGTGAAAATCTGTAGACTAAAATGATATTAACTGCGATTCACCTTCCGTTTAATTTTACTTGGAGGTCGACATTATAAATAATGCCGTTGAAGCAGCTTCTTGTCGGCTGTCCTTTCGGAACGGCTGAATGATTTCTGGACATCAGTCTGAGTTCTCTGCCACTCTACATTTGGCTCCATGTAGCCACCTAAATCACCGTGCTTTATGGCAATTTGTTCTCACGACAGAAAGCTTCCTACGTCTAATTTTTCTAACAGTATGGCTGTTGTGTTTAATGAAGTGTCCGTAATCTGCGGTATTTCTTGTGGGTTTTCGGTTGGTGGAACTACAAAAATATAACAGTGATTTTTTGGCATACTTCATTGTAAAGTGTGTATTTTGAACCAAATCGAAATTTCGTAGCTAAAATAAGTGTTTCTCCATTTAAATGACATGAAAATTCGGTGAGGGGTAAAATTGTGCTCAAAGAACCTGATTTCCGCAATCGTGTCGATGGGTCCCTCCAATTGCTATTGCAGGAAGGTAACCTTCATCACTCTGCTCTCTTCATTTTCAGCAAACCTATCCATAACTAAACTACCCACACCTTTCATCAGAATAGCTTGCTTTCGAAATAACAAAGAGCGACTATTTTTAATGTATATGATTAATTCCGTCTGTGAATAACAAACAATTTTTTCTTCATTTCTAAATAAATAACTTCACTGGTGGACCTAAAACAAAATTATTACTATGCCTAGATTATGTATGCATCTGCAGAGCAGATTGAACCTGAGTCATGTTTTTGAGTTGAATACCTTTGAAATGGTGTTTGTTTCTGTAGTTGCTTTTATTATGCATCCCATTTTATATGGCATGGTGAGGGAATAAGCCTTATGAGAATCACATTACAAATGCTCGCATCGTTTATAAGTTTTGCTGATTGTTGATTGGCTCAGTACTGCAGTTGGCCGCTTGCATCAACAGACAATATTCTTACCAAATTTTTAAATCCTTGCTTGCTTACGGGAGGACTGATGAGGTCATCAAATTTATGAACTGGACTTTGTCTAAGCAGTATTTTGTAAGGTTCACACTTCGAAGTGAGTTGAAAGTGGATGCTTAATAAGCAAGCCGGTCTTAATTCGATGATGGAGATTTGGTGTATCCACGCGTTCAGGCGTCTTTTTGGCTAGATGATAATGCCATAGAAGAATAAAGGATAAGTCGTGTCCATTTGCTGTTATTTGTAAATGAGATGCGGACTAAGCTATGCCGCTTGTGTTGTGGGTTTTGCTTCTTTGCTGATTAAACATCCAAGTTGGCTGGTTCGATGTTGTCGGCATTTCTTAACTCGGTAAAGTAGCATTTATTTTTCGCTTTAGTTTGTTGGATTCGTTTTGCATTTTTTTCTAAGCATCGTCAAATTTTATGCTAGATGCTGTCATGGGAGTTGACATAAGTTATGAAAGTTGGTTTATCCACACGAGGGATTCTACTTTTGAAAACATGCATGGAGTATGCGGTTCCAAACACTTTTTTATTGAGAATACTTTGATTGGTCAAACTACACGTCAATTTTGTTGGCCTTAAGTAGTAAAAAAGTGCTCGGAAGTTTTTACCACGCTTTTTTTAAGAACCGAATGTTTTTATCGTCTTTTGTTTTTTTTACCATAGCCTTGTTCGTTTGGTTGAAACTTATACCCTTCTTAAGAGCTGGATGAAACTTGTATAATACCTATGTTACCCTAGAAAGTGTTTGATCGTGACGCAGACTCGACCTCCTCAGACACTGAGGTTCTGCAGTGGCTATTGTCCAATTTATGTGGTAGAACCTCCCCAGCTTCTCATCGTCTTTACTGTGTCGGCAAAATTCGTACCATCCTGTTGTCTCCATGTGCGCTACCTTTCGATATTGTTGAAACCATAAGTGCGAAGTCTTTTTTATTGTTAACCAACACTGCTTATTATCCTCTCGCTAAACATCAGCTCCAATAATAACAATAGTAATGAGTGGAAACTTTTCGCGAACTAAACCGCCCTTTTGGAATAAGGTGGCGTCCACTTAACTGTGGAAGCATTATTTTTTGGTCTACTGTTAGCACTTTTGTTTCATCCTTCGTAGCAACGCATCTAAGAAGTCAGGGATGGATATTAAGTTCTTCAAAGTCCTTGTACACTAAAACGAGGCTTATGATTTTGCCCATTTTAAGGTGTCTTCCGCCTGATCAACCGGTTGACTTGATAAATGTTGCATTCCAACACATCCAATGCAGAGATCGAGCTTTGAAACGGCGGTAAGTTTTTTTAATAAACAGAAATTAGTATGATTTTGTATGGGAACACTCCTATGTGCTCGTCAAAATTCATTTGTTTTCACCATATTAGTGTTAATATTGTGTGGCATATTTGCGGTGTTCTCTTTGGAGACATCTTTGTATTGTGAAGAGTTGTTGTTTTTAGTTGTTTTCCTTCAAAGACGCGCTCTCGAATTCCATTTTCTTGATTTAATCAAGAAGGATAGCGAGTTCAGTATTACATATTCTTCGACCTCTTCAGCAAAGCGTTATGCTTGGCGTCTTTCCAAACCCTGACGCAATCGTAGTTCATGTAAACACAACTTTCATGATCCAACGATGTTGCCATACAGAAAATGCCCCATTTTTGAAGAACATTTGATCACCTAATAGTAATCCGGACATGATCCAAGGCAATTACTCAAACCCGATTTGTTTCTTTCTTACCAGACGGCTTTGATTTGTACAAATTGAGCTGCCTTTGATAAAATTTTAAGCTGTGTCATTGTAAACGCTATATTGCTGTTTTATGAGTTCTACGAATAGTTCTAAATGATATTACCCTGTTAGCTGCAAACATCCTATTTGCTGAAAATCTTGCACTTTAGAGGCTGTGATGAAACCGACTTCCAGCGGCTATACTCTTCGCCGGAAAGCGCCCCAGATAGGCAAACTGCACTGAGCAGCTTCGAGGAACTGCAACATCTGAACCCAAGCCGACATTGGCATCTGGTCTTGGTAAAGCTACATTTCAAAATTATTGGTGGACTATTTTTGATCAGGAATTTTCACACTAAGGCACAGGTCTGCAAATTTCTTAACTGCTTTAAAACAGTTACGAAGTTCATAATATTTAATGAATGGTGTCCGCAGCTTCGTCACTACTATAATCCACCTCCTGTCGAAATCATGGCAACTAGTATAAAAAGCAGTAGAAGGGCGAGTCTATTTAGACGAAGTTATGTTTATCTCCTTTTCGAGCACAGTGTTCGAATTTGTCCCATCTACAAGACGCTATGGAGATGCTTAGCTCCTAGACTAACATTAATGAAGGTTCATTAATAATACATAAATATGGTGCACACCAATCTAAAACAAAGTTGCTAGATCACTTTTGTAAGATACGAGTGATAGGATTGATTATTTTGATGACCTTATGCCATGTTCCTTGTATGCTTCTGAAGAGGTACTTACGTTACATTTTTGGTATGCGTGTCCCAGATGGCTTTTTAACTGCAACTTGCTTATACTGATACTAAGAAAAGCATTTGTTACCCTTACGTGCTCTGCCAATAACCTGATTGTTCGCACTGAATGAGATTGAGGCATTGTTGTTTTCCTCTTATGGCCACCTATGTGGTAAGCTTTTAACTAAGTGGAAAAGTGATTCGATCTATGGCCTCGGTGTTCGAGTAAGCTCTGACACCAAAACTGTTATTTAACTGTTCTTTATTTTGCATCCTCTGGCGATTTCACCAGAAAATTTCCTTTCCTCACTAAAGCAGGGAAGTCCACTTTTATTAAGACATGTATTAGATATTGCAAATAATTCTCGCTCTCTCGTCTTTATCAAGGTGATTGAGTTTTCTTATAGCAAAATTAGAAAATCACTTTGTACAATCACTTCTTGATGCATCGTTCACTTTAGCATTTTTTAAGCAGGTAGGCTTTTAATGCATCTTCTACAGGTTAAAAGTGAGCATTTTAAGTAGTCTATTTATATTTGTTGTCGCTCCCTTTATGGGTTAATTGTAGGTATAGCATTGTGGATATGCTCAGCTATCACCTCTAAGCTTGTGCAGTTGTGTTCAAACAACCTGCTCGGTTCCAAGTCTAGCAAATCTCCACAATACCCGATTGTAGATTTTTTTAAAGTCATTCTTAGGATCATGCGAAGGAGCCAGAAGTGGTGTGGTTTTCGTTGGGACTTACATAAATCATTTGGATGTTTTCTCTTGAGCTGAAATGGAATAAAGAAAAATCATTGCTTCATTTCATGTCCTAATGCATGTACGACGTTAGCATAGATTGCAAAAATTTTTGAGTGTTGAAAGTAGGATACCGTAAGCGGGTTGCCTTGGACAATTGTACCCGACTACGATGCCTACTGGTAAGTTACAATGTACCATGACTAACATCCTACTCATTCGTTTTCCCAGACTAAAGTTGTGCTTGTTTATATGCTTAACGATGCTAGCCAGTTCCAACGAACGTAAATGTTTTTTTTTAGGCTGATGTTTCTGTTGAGGAGGTCAAGACGATTCGGTAAGCGTTCCTTTTGACAAATTTTTCATGTACACTATATTGGTTATACCTGGGATTTCTAGGATCTTGTTCAAGGTCAGACATACCCTAAAGTTGTTCTTCATGGTTAACCAAGTTTAGCTTCCTGATGAGCCCCGCAGTCCTGCTTGACCCAATAACAATGGTTGCGAAAAATAATGATATAATAAAATTCCTCTTTGGAGCGCTGATTGAACCTTTCAATGGCATATCCTCTCATTTGGACTGTAGTTCACAAAACTCTGAGTGTTGTCTGTTTTGAGATTGTTGTTATCAATTGTTGCTGATTGAGCCAAGCATGCTTTGTTTTCCGGGCTCAAGTGAGCAAAAGTATGGGACTGAACGCTAATGGATTTAGGCCCAAGGGATTTCTTCTTCCCTCTTACCAGAGAGGTATTGGTGTTTGTTCCGTTTTTAGTTTTCTCCTGCGAATACGACCATTTAATAATATGTGAAGTGACATTATTTTCATTGATCGTGTGAAATTACCGAACAAAATTTGGAGAGCGGTGTATTCCACTATTCCAAATAATATACATCCACCCGAAAGTAATGATAAAGAATTTAACTGAGGCTTTTTCCTAATTCAATGGATATTAAAAATAGTTCGCAACTTGGTTGCTTTGTTTCGTAAATAACCATGAATTTTGCATCTTTGCATCTGATGACTCCGAAATTTCACATTCAACAGTACAGGCTATGAGTAATTTACGGCTTTTAATCGCTTACTCATTTCGGGGAGTGCAGGACTTTAAAATATTTAAGTTATGCGTTAATGCATTGGCTAACTTGTTCTGAAGATTTCCTGTGTGTCGTCTTGTCACCTCATTTTCACGGAAAATGTGTACCTCAAGTGTAATGAATTCTGGGTTATGGGTAGCAAACCTTATCATATTTGCTCTAATAACTCCGCATTTGGTAGCAAATAACAGCAAAACTAATCAGAAGTTTTTTTGCATCGCGGATAGACAAAAATCGACGTGCTTGGGTGATCGCTGTCATCCGTTCCCACTACAGCTTTGACGGCGACTTTCCTGAGTGTCGAATTTGCAGCTGGAATTACTATTAGAAAACGCAGTAATAACGGCGGTTACCGTTGGGAGGAGGGAACGTGTTGAAGGCAATGTTCCTTTGTTTGAATTGCATGCTCACTTCAAATTTTACTAATGAACCCTGATCCATTCCTGTTTCCTCAAAAGCCTGAAAAATGTGGCAAACATCTTTACTTAAACCGAACTTCTAGGTCCAACGTTGCAACAGACCACTGTTCTCCTTATGGCTCTCATTTTCTGTCAATTAATGATCTAAAGGCAAAGGAAGGCATCACATGAGAATTCCAAACTGTTACTTCCTAGGATTGTGAAAGCCGTCTTTGTCGCTGTGGTTTGAAGGTAGAAATGAATAAGTTTGAATGACCTCAAATGTCCCTTAAGTGGTTCTATTTTTACGCAATGCTTTGCAAAGAGTTTGAAATTGTATGCCTCTCCGTTATATCTATTCCCCTCTTGAGTATCCCCTCTTTCTACTTCGTACCAATTGCAGTTGGTAATGCTCTTCCGAAAGTTATCCATTTTCAGTGATACTTATTGTGAGCCACAAACTCACCGTCCCTAGCATCACAAGTGTAGTCAGATTATTTTCCAATTGGCATTGCACGTATTGGTGTCTTTCTTTTAACGGATGTGGATTGTTTTCCACCCAGCGTTTTTGGGGATAAATTATCGCCTTTTTTTTCATGAATCCCCGTGGAATATGGCTTTTAGTTTCGTGATAATGCTTTTGTTTCGCTGTTTTCCATGCCATAGCCTTTCGCATTGCATTAATTGTGAAGCTCCTGCCATTTTCGACATCTTTTGGCTGGAACGATGCTTTTTATACCCCTAGATTTATGAAATGGAGCCTCACCTCGATGGCGTATATGCAAGTACCTCTTGGAAGTCGATGACTTCCATGCCTTAATCTGCTGTACCATCCGTTAATGCTTGTATTCATTTTACAGTTCCCATTTTTTGTTCATCAACAGCTAACTTGTCAAGGAGATCCGTTATAGCTTTACCTCATAAAGTTTGAACTATGTATTAGTGCCTATTCGATTTTCAAATTAGACGTTTTTTCTAACGGTTCTTCAAGACTTCTGCACATGCTACCAAGACGCTCTCTATTGAAAGGAAAGTAACCCCATTTTCCGCTTTTCAAAATACTTTGGGACATTCAGTACCCGGTGGTAGGTTCTTATCCGTGGTCGCCATTGCAACTTATCGATCTAAATAAATACTTTGTAGTATCGCATCACTTCAGGCCTGTTTTAGGTTTTTACATTTGTGCTGCCAACATTTATAGACACTTCAGTAACTCGCTTTTTCACTTCACAAAATCAGATTTCGGATTTAACGAAAATACCTAACTTATCACTTCGGAACCATTATAGAAATGTTTTCACATCCTATCTTCGTTTTAATATTTTTCCTAGACTTTGGTCTCGTTTCACTTAATTCCTAGTTATTGATATGGTAAGACGCTTTGTTTGTCCTTTCAGCACTGCATTTAGTATGCACAGTATTCTGTAATTGATGTTGTTCTATCACTCTCTCATTGATTTGTCTTTCATGTGTTACGGTTGTTCTTTCTCACTCACGAAATCCACAGTACCAGCTGGTCGCGCGTTGGATATTAGGTCTATTGTTACCTGTTTTCTAAAGCCTTTGCTGGAAGTCTCCCATTTTCGTATGTGGTGGTCTTACGCAACAATAACCATCCATTTGAATTGTATCGCTCCTTTAAACGTCTACCCTCTATTACCTCCCTTAGGATTTCCATACACTTCCTACTCATGTCCTTGTAAATCAGTAGTTTTGGTACAAAATGTAAGAGCTGAAATCCGATGGTTCGTTTTCTTAAACATAGCATTTCTAAGCCATTAACAGTTAAACGTGTGTTCTACTTTGTCCCTGTGGTGGGACAAATTGCAGTAAATTGGACTCTTATGTACATGCACCTTTTATTGCGTATTGTTATCGTTAACTTGAGCACCACACTTATTAGTTAAACCCGAATTCTAGTGTTAGGCTGTTTCAGTCTGCAATTCTCCTTGTATAGACACTAGTTCTCAAATTCTTGTTGCATTTTTGCCACAAATGCAATTTTATTGTAAGAAATTGCTATTTACCTTTGTTTCAAAACCGGTGGCCGAGCGATCACTTTTTTCTGCTAAATTTTATTTCATTTTGCACGTTCACATCCTTATAGACGAGAGCGAGTGAGGAACTTGTTAAAACCTTCACCTGAGACTACGCTGAATGACAGCCTTTCGCTTGCCCTGTGGTTTGCAGCTCGCGGTTGTGGTCGTCTTATTTGTAGTCAAAATTGCCTCGCCGAACCCTGTTGCTCCGTCTACCGATCGCCTGCGCTGGTTAGTATCCCCCCAATTTGCTCCATTTTTCCAACAAAGATTATTACCGGTTGGCTCCTGCAAATTAAGCATTCAGTGCCAGTTGATTATGCAGGGAAATCGCATCCCTACTTAGGGCTGGTCCGAAGCGACTGTGTATTGTCATGCTTTTCGGCTTATTCTTACCCGTTACTAGATCGAGCGTACTTTTCCGATCCCGTTTAATTATCCTTTGTCTGCAAATAGATTGAGACATCTCGGGAATATTCGAGAGGGCCGTTATCAAATGCTAGTTGTGATAGACCGATTTCGCAATGAATTAACCAAATATTTTGTTAGGAATTTTGCGAAGGAAATTTGACTTGTTTTAGTAATCATGCAAAGTAGTGCTATGCTACTTCGGTAGGTCGTATTAGTTCATCTAAGATAGAACTTCTTGAGGGAATATTAGATCTTTGTTATCGCAAAGGTTTAGGTGCGTGAACGAATCATTAATGTCAGGTCTCCTCCGGAAGCTTCTCAGCTGCGCGGTACTTGTTATTAGTTGGGCATAGACATTGAAGACAGCTTCTTGACAGTCGACTCATCTCCAAAGTTCAGATTGCATGCCATAGCATAACTTTTGATTCATCATATCAACTGCCTTACTGCCTCCTAAGTTCTGTTTTGTAAACCATTTTGTTTCTATTGTATAATTTTTTTCGTCAGAACTGCATAAAAACGGCTGCTAGTATTTGAATTCAGTGGAACAAGCATGACGCAAATGCGATTTCATGTACCCCATCTCAGAGCCGGTGTTTGGTAAATTGCAGAGCATGTGAAAAGGGTTGATGGGGGATTTCAATCTAAACTGGGACCTATCTTCATCAGACGCCCGAATGTACGTCGGCAGGGATGGTGGTGGGTGTCAGCTGGAGTGCGGGCGAGTATTTTTAATCTACCATCGAATTTTAGGCTTGATAAGGCTCGTTTTAATTTCCAGCGTAGGTTGATTTATGGAGGCGGAGGGGGAGGGAGGAGGAGAATTTCATCGTCATATGCCTTTATCAAATTTTTAAATCATTTCTATTTCTCTATGAACGCATGAATTGTGGTGTAAGGTACTAACTTTATAGCTTTTGCTCTGTTATTATTGTATGTGGGGTGATTTTATTGTTTTCCATAATATGGTAGAATTATTTATGCATGATGTCAAAAATCTTGTAATATCCAAAGGGAGAAATCTAAAAATAGCGATGTGGTTACTTATGAATAACTCGAAATGTGAATTTTACTGCCAACCTTGGGTTCACATGAAACAAAGCGTTGCATTTTTATGCAACTGTGAGGAAACATTTATTGACTATGAAAGAATGTTCCTTTTTGACTAAGGGTATTGTGTGGACTGAGGAGGTTGACTGGATTATTGGGAAAAGTATAGGTCATTATGATTGCACGGGTGTATTACTTTCCGTCTGATATATTTCACTGTTAACTAGAAAGGGTATTGATATGGTATCCGCACTTGTTCTCTATCTTATAAAGTTAGGCTTCTTAGTCTTTCAGTCTCAGGTCACCTTCTTTGGATGATTGTTCTGTCTCAAAGTATGCATGCATAGTTGCTCTCGTTTAGTGTTCCTCTGTAACTTCACTTTTTAGATATCTTCATCACAGAAACGAATTAAATTATGGTCACCATTTTTTCGATTTAGGTACTTCTGGTAGGAACGGGTGCGGATGAGCAGCTGGCGGGTTACTCGCGTCATAGAACTACTTTCCTGCAAGTTTGTTCCCTAACTGCATGATACATGAACTCGAATATTGCTGTTCTGTTAATACTCGTGCCTGGCGAAATTGCGAATCGACAACTCTTGATCCCTCATCTCTAGCTATGCGTTATTAAAGCAAATTCGAATGCCCGCTAATCGAGGAAATAATAGGCTCGGGATGCCGCTCAATCAGGATTTTCTGATCCTATCTATGGTGATGTTCGTTTGCTTTTATGCCGATAGCCTTATTTGAATAATTGGGTGTGTGGATTTTGGTGCTGCTTTGAATTTATGTGATCCTAAACATTTGCTACTGTTTTGTGGTGGGCTCCGTTTCCCTCAGAGAGAGCTAAGGCACATTTACAAAGCATTAATATCTCCAAATGTAGGTGCTTCAATTTCGTACATCTTTTTTTGTCGGTTAGCTATTCTCACTTCTAACAAGCAATTTAGTTTTTATTCACTGATCTGAATTCTAGGCATAAAAGGCCCGTTTTCGAAGAGTTGTGCAATTGCGCTCTGTTGATAAACAAAAATATCCAGTAAAAATCAGGTATAGAGTACTCCGGGTAGTAAATGGAGGTCGCATCGGTTGATTTTCACAGCGTACGGGAAATGAGAATGCGGTAGTTAGGTGGTGCAAGGCACAGTGTACGTGTTGGGTCAAATGCTCCTCAGATCTACGTTCAATCTATGTTTTGATCAACATTTTTCATGCGGAATTTTTTATATTGCTGGTGTTTCGGCGAATAATGCGTCACTTCAAGGCACCATTTCCTTTGCTCATTTATTATCATCCTCGTTAATTGATATTATTTGTTCCCTCGCCTATTAGTTGTTAGTGGGGACGAAAAAGCAATGAACTTTTAAACAGACACTTATAAGGTTTTCAAATAATGGTGGATAAGTTTCGTTCTACGCTTCACAGTTGCACTTTCCCATGTTTCGGTTGTCCTTTGTGAAGATGATGAAATAACGTGGGCCTACGAGGCAATTTGATTTGTGCTATGAAGTCAGATAATCCATTTATTAGGATTTTCATCGTGCAAGTGGTGAAGGGCCGGTGCTGTAGCTGCTACATTCATTTGTAACGAAAGGCGAGATGGAAAGCACTTAGTGTAAACTTGAATCCAAATCCAACACGGTTAGGAATTCCTCTTTAATCATAGTTTCCGGAAGACTGGAAGGATGGTCATAAGGGAAAAAATAACATACTCGCGAATTTTCAATGTCATCTGTCATCTATTGTGTTACCTAACATCTAGTATCTGGTCGCCTGCAGCATTCAAAAATCTAGTATCATATTGCTGAGCTCGTCTTTTCCTGTCCATCTTTAAAATGCACTCGTCGTCTGATAGTGTTGACTCTTGGTTTTTTTCCTTTTATAATAATAACTGAAAAAGTATTGTTAGACAATCCAATAGGTAGTGTCTGTTTCCTGTGCTTGGTAGCTTTTGAACGGTATTTTGGCACCTCTTGGTGGGAATCTCTGTTTCGACAGATAAATCATAAGTATTTGTTTGTCTTTTTTCGACTAGGTTAAATCAATCCATGAGCTGACGCTAAAACATTGATGGGTGAGCATGTTTTTTATCTTATGAGGATTCTTTGTATCTATCTGCTTGTCTATTCCACACAGATTTATCTCTTATCACTACTTTTCTCTCTTGGATTCTCTTTTTGGTTTTTGCCGTGAACAATAATGTTCAGTAATACCTTGTCTGTAACATTTTAGAACAATGTTTGATTTCATTTGATGAATTTCCGTTTATGGGGGCCATTGACTGTCTGTCTTTGCATGATTATCTTTTCCGGTGAAATCTTTCCATTTACGAAATATTGTCCTTTTTTTGAGTAAAAACATCTATTTTTCAGTGAAACCAAGAATTTTTGATGATGCCTTGCTGAAATGTACTTTAATTTGCATAGCTTCATTCACGAATACTGTCCTCAATGCATTTTGAGTTTACTCTACTTTTCTCATCTAATCTATTTAAACTTATGAACAGATGGGATTAGAAGCTAGGCATTTCCATTGCATCCTTAGAATGTTACAAATTTTCTGCCTTTCATGGAAAAGATATTTTTGGTGTGGTACGATGTCATCATACAAACGAACAAGGAAACTGTAAAGGGAGAGAAGTTGGAGGGAGGCGGTTGAAAACTGTTGTAGTTGAGATGGGTCACGGATAGGACTTTGGCTATACGTAGCCTGGTTCGCCAGTGGAATTTGCGAAACCTTCCACAATTACTGACACATCCGCTTCCCTTCATTTTTGTCCACTTCCATATGTGCTGCTCGCTTTCGCTGGTATTCTTATTCCTTCTCATATTGAACATCGACATTCCATCCCTAAGTATTTGATCTCTTCTTTTTTCCTGCTTGACTGTGACAGACTGGTTCTTTTTTGGCCATGACGGTGGTAATACTGATCGAGATTTCGTTTAGCCTGCGGGTATTTACCACAACCGGAGTGGGAGCTGACCTTGCTAGGTCTGCTGAAGATCTCAGGTTCGTGGTTCCCGCATCCAGACCTCTGCGTCATTGATCGAAAGCAGAGCCTGGGGCTAAGAACGTACACGGTGGTCATCGCCCTCCTGATAGGTCGGTTGAGCCAGCCATAAAGAAATGGATTGATGCACGCAGATCCCATAGCCCACAATTTGAGCACCATGTCAACCAAAGTGAAATGTGTGATATGGATAAAGCTGCTTGACTGCGAGAAGTAGATCTTTTGCGGCACTTTTGTTTGATTGTCTCCCAATGCACCATCAGTTAACCAGGCAGTGCATCCTTCCAGAGTCAGCTCAGAGAAATTTACCTGAATATGGGGAGCACTGGAACCCTTTGTTACAAAAGCGTCTATTTCCACAAGGAGGGAGAACACACACCAGGGTGTCCAGCAGATTACAAAGCAGACCACCACACATGCTAGCAAGGTGGTAGTGCGCCTTTTTCTCCGCCCTGACTCCTTTGAAAGACTCAATTGTTCAGGTCGCACTGTTAGACGTCTGTAAATCTCCAGATAGAGACCACCTGAGACGAGTAATGGAAGAAGGAAATGAAGTATGAAGGTAGCTACTGAGTAGATTAGACGAAAGATGGGTTTAGGCCAAGCCTCAACGCAATAATTGCGGAACCCTTCGATCCCTCGACTCTCAGTGTAAACGCCTACAGGGATCGCGCTAAGCGCAGAAAAGGTAACAGTTATAAGAATGAGACAAAGGGCTGTGCGAATGGAAGCTCGAGGTGCTGTAGGTTTGACGATGAGGCGATATCTGTCCACGGCAATTAGGAGAATAGTCAGACAGGAGACGTACATAGGAATTCCAAAACCAGCGAAAAGAGTACGACACAGGGCTGTGTTAACTCGGCTATTTTCGTCAATGCCATAGTAGAGTTGAATTGGCATCGAGATGCCGCAAAGCACAACGTCGGATGCGGCCAATGTGAAGACAAAAATATTTGCGATGTTTGTAAAAATCTGCTCCTTGAAGTAAATCAGGGCGAAAAGGACTGCGAGGTTAAATGTAGTTCCGCAAAGGATGAGTATTGCGTGACAGCAAATCAGGATCTGTCGAACTTCTGGAATTTGGTGGGAAGAGTAGGTGCCTGTTCCAAAAAGAGCTACAAGACCGGACATATCGGGTATGATCCTACCGTCACCGGAATTCGTTGTCACATTTGAAACTCTTGGAGTGGTATCGGAGCGCAGCATTTGTAGACAGTATTGAACTCTACCGTAAAACAAGGTTGATACATTTACGCTGTAAAATGTGCCGATTTCTCATCCATGCATAAAAACCTTTAGTTATTGGGGATTTGTGTTCGTGGTTTTGGGTTTGGATTTGTGAAGCCATAGAGGTTGGGAGCGTAAGCTTAGCCTTCTGGTAGGCTAGGAAAACGAATTGCAATAAGTTAGCTTTTTTGAGTAGGCTTATTTTTTGCATTTTTT